ATATATATATATATATATATATATATATATATATAATATTTAATAATAAAATAATATTGCATGAATAAAATTCGTTCTTATCTGAATGCACATCATACAGATCTGTTAAGCATTATATAATGTTTTTCAAACGCATTTTGATGAAAGTTATCAAAGTGTTACCAGATCTTGAATGAACTGACTTCACTCTCCGCTGGTCCTTTAAGAGCCTCCTCCTCCTCTCCTGTATTTTTAGCTGATGAAGCCTCTTCTTTAGTTGAATAACACACACACACACACACACAGAGACACACGCAGATGTGTGTACAGTATGATCCGTCTCATCATTTTCAACCCTCTCTAATCCATTCCCATGATATTTGGATCAGAAACATCTCAGCCTTCGGGGAAAAAGCTGCGCTGGATGCTGCAAAACACCAGAAGCATCAGCACCACCACCACCACCACCATCAACAACAACAACAACATCCACGTTGAGCTGCAACATGATCCTGATGGATTTCTGAGACGTTTCGAGCGCCATGGATGAACGCGACTCGATTTAACCTGCGCGTAAAAGAGCCTCGACATCCTTCAAAACGGACGGGGTCGTGGAGCATCGAGGGAAAACCCGGGCCAATCGGGACCGAGACTACATGCCCAACATGGAGAGGGGCAAACCGGCCACCTACACGGGCGACAAGAAGGCAAAGATGGCTGCAAAGACCAATAAGAAGTGGGTAAGACTGGCCACCGTGTTCGCCTATGTTTTATCCGTGTCTCTAGCTGCGATCATCCTGGCCATCTACTACAGCCTCATATGGTCTCCAAACAAGTCAGGTCCAAACACCACCACCACCACCACCACCGCGAGCGCCAACGGGACGGAAAGCAACAGCACGCAGGCGACTCCGATCCACATCAACGCCACCGGCACCAACGCGTCTCTGGAGCAGACGGCCGCGTCCCTCTCCAAAAGCGCGCACTCCCAACCCGCGGATCTCTACACATACATGCCCAGCGACATCTCAGACACCCAGGCTGCAGCTAAACCACAGTCTTCCCGGAGACACCAGACCCTCGCCGGTGGAGACGCACAGCCGGAGACGCGCTGGGACGAGCGCGCAACGTCGCTGGAGGACGACTCTAGACAAACTGACTCAAATAACCGGCACAGAAAGACCTAAGCGAGGGTTTGAGACTCGGAAACGTTGCTGCTGGTTCACAAGCCGAGACGAGGCCGGACACCGACGCATAAATAGCAGAGGCTCCGAAGGTGCTTAACCATTCATATATAACCTATTTTGTTTTGCCTTAATGCTCGGCATCTCCCAATTTGGACGCGTACACTCCAAAACCGCATTGAATTGTATAGGAAGCATTCATCCGAAGCGAAGGACTGACTGTCCATTGCGCTCAATGCCTTGATTTGAACAGCCATGTTTTTGGGGTGGGAGGGGGACAAGCTTTTAAAATAACAACACTAAAAGCTTGCATGAATTTCAACTAACCCTGTTACCCAGTTTAATCAGGATTCTTGTGTTAGATGAAAATGTGTCGATGCTCAGGTATGTGCAAATATCCATGTAAATGTATTGTTTAGTAATGTACATACATGCTCTGGAAATTTTTAGCATCCCTATAGATCATTTTTTTTACAACAAATGGTGTACCATAGGTGTAGAATACATCACTGTAATGGTAAATAAACAACTTACAACTACAAACACTCACTGCACAAGGGGTTAACAAGAAGATGCACTTGTGTGTGTTATATAAGCCAAACTAGGCAGCACATCAATCACTTTGACTAGATTAAAAACAAGCTGGCAAGGTAACGGAATTACAGTTTAGTTGAGGTGAGCGCGCGGTTTAATCCTGCATTAACCCATAATCAGATATTAGGATTGGGTTAATGCTGGCTTTTGTGCAAAACACAACTGGTGCTTCTATTAATTGGTTTTATTCAGGTCAAGATAGGGTCATTTTTCAGGCATTAGCAGCTTTTTACACTTCACAGCAACAGATTTTCACTCTCTTCGGTGTCTTCTGGCCTCGTAGTGACCCTCATCGGTCTTATTTGTCATCGGTCTCTAACTGTTTGCTAGTGAGTCACATCTAGTGATCCTTGCATGTTTAGTACTCTCTCCGTACAGTACACGATGGAGGCTTATTGATTGACTTCTGAAGTCAAAAGCAGGAATTACACAATCCTGCTCTATTTTCAGCGGTGGCTTTTTGACCTGTTACAGCACATGCCGGAAAATATCTGGGAGAAATTTGTGCAACTCGAACACAGAGTTACTAAACTGCATTTATACTGCACATTTATGAACAACACATGGTCAACAATGGCCATTTAATTCAAACGCGCAATGCAGCTGCTAAGATGTTTTGAGTCATTTTTAGTGAGTTGATATGCAGTTGGATATTCGCCTGAATGTAAAAAAGTCCACCTTTAATTCTAAGATATGGAGTTAAATGCTGAGTTTGTTCAAACAGTGATGACTGATTTAAAAAACACTAACTCAGTTTATTCAGTGGTTGAACTGGATACTTTGAATGCATGCGCTTGTACTATTAAGCAGCCTGTAAACAAGATGTTTTGGAGACGTTTTTTGATCGTCCTGTGACTGTAGAATTGATTCAGCAGCTGTGGGTACAAATCAATTATAAAAACCTCAGTTTGTGCCCTTCAAGCGTACGAAATCCCCTTGAGAATCAATTATTTGAGGTGTTTACCAAGTCAGTCCTCACTAGTACTAGTGCTGATAGTCATGTGCTCAAACCTAAGTAAAGTCGAATGTGTGCTTTGTCCTGATGGACCATAAAACAAGTGAAAAATCCAACTCGAGCCACACCCTAGCAACCATTTAGCATCATTGGCAGTGTGTTTAATTCAAAAGGAAGCATCTTATTCAAAAGGAAGTGTCTCTAGCTGCGATCATCCTGGCCATCTACTACAGCCTCATATGGTCTCCAAACAAGTCAGGTCCAAACACCACCACCACCACCACCACCGCGAGCGCCAACGGGACGGAAAGCAACAGCACGCAGGCGACTCCGATCCACATCAACGCCACCGGCACCAACGCGTCTCTGGAGCAGACGGCCGCGTCCCTCTCCAAAAGCGCGCACTCCCAACCCGCGGATCTCTACACATACATGCCCAGCGACATCTCAGACACCCAGGCTGCAGCTAAACCACAGTCTTCCCGGAGACACCAGACCCTCGCCGGTGGAGACGCACAGCCGGAGACGCGCTGGGACGAGCGCGCAACGTCGCTGGAGGACGACTCTAGACAAACTGACTCAAATAACCGGCACAGAAAGACCTAAGCGAGGGTTTGAGACTCGGAAACGGTGCTGCTGGTTCACAAGCCGAGACGAGGCCGGACACCGACGCATAAATAGCAGAGGCTCCGAAGGTGCTTAACCATTCATATATAACCTATTTTGTTTTGCCTTAATGCTCGGCATCTCCCAATTTGGACGCGTACACTCCAAAACCGCATTGAATTGTATAGGAAGCATTCATCCGAAGCGAAGGACTGACTGTCCATTGCGCTCAATGCCTTGATTTGAACAGCCATGTTTTTGGGGTGGGAGGGGGACAAGCTTTTAAAATAACAACACTAAAAGCTTGCATGAATTTCAACTAACCCTGTTACCCAGTTTAATCAGGATTCTTGTGTTAGATGAAAATGTGTCGATGCTCAGGTATGTGCAAATATCCATGTAAATGTATTGTTTAGTAATGTACATACATGCTCTGGAAATTTTTAGCATCCCTATAGATCATTTTTTTTACAACAAATGGTGTACCATAGGTGTAGAATACATCACTGTAATGGTAAATAAACAACTTACAACTACAAACACTCACTGCACAAGGGGTTAACAAGAAGATGCACTTGTGTGTGTTATATAAGCCAAACTAGGCAGCACATCAATCACTTTGACTAGATTAAAAACAAGCTGGCAAGGTAACGGAATTACAGTTTAGTTGAGGTGAGCGCGCGGTTTAATCCTGCATTAACCCATAATCAGATATTAGGATTGGGTTAATGCTGGCTTTTGTGCAAAACACAACTGGTGCTTCTATTAATTGGTTTTATTCAGGTCAAGATAGGGTCATTTTTCAGGCATTAGCAGCTTTTTACACTTCACAGCAACAGATTTTCACTCTCTTCGGTGTCTTCTGGCCTCGTAGTGACCCTCATCGGTCTTATTTGTCATCGGTCTCTAACTGTTTGCTAGTGAGTCACATCTAGTGATCCTTGCATGTTTAGTACTCTCTCCGTACAGTACACGATGGAGGCTTATTGATTGACTTCTGAAGTCAAAAGCAGGAATTACACAATCCTGCTCTATTTTCAGCGGTGGCTTTTTGACCTGTTACAGCACATGCCGGAAAATATCTGGGAGAAATTTGTGCAACTCGAACACAGAGTTACTAAACTGCATTTATACTGCACATTTATGAACAACACATGGTCAACAATGGCCATTTAATTCAAACGCGCAATGCAGCTGCTAAGATGTTTTGAGTCATTTTTAGTGAGTTGATATGCAGTTGGATATTCGCCTGAATGTAAAAAAGTCCACCTTTAATTCTAAGATATGGAGTTAAATGCTGAGTTTGTTCAAACAGTGATGACTGATTTAAAAAACACTAACTCAGTTTATTCAGTGGTTGAACTGGATACTTTGAATGCATGCGCTTGTACTATTAAGCAGCCTGTAAACAAGATGTTTTGGAGACGTTTTTTGATCGTCCTGTGACTGTAGAATTGATTCAGCAGCTGTGGGTACAAATCAATTATAAAAACCTCAGTTTGTGCCCTTCAAGCGTACGAAATCCCCTTGAGAATCAATTATTTGAGGTGTTTACCAAGTCAGTCCTCACTAGTACTAGTGCTGATAGTCATGTGCTCAAACCTAAGTAAAGTCGAATGTGTGCTTTGTCCTGATGGACCATAAAACAAGTGAAAAATCCAACTCGAGCCACACCCTAGCAACCATTTAGCATCATTGGCAGTGTGTTTTGCACGGACACATTTCTTTAAAAAAAGCTACATTTCTTGTACATCTGATTTGCAAAGCTTTGTTGGATTTCAAAAGAGCATCTTATTCAAAAGGAAGCAAATATGCATATATATAAATCTTGTAGCCCATCACTGATTACAGATGATGAAAACTGTAGTTAGTAATATAATCTAGGTTACTCATTTTAGGTAATGTATTCTGACTACTTTTCTTTTACCTAACTTGGTTTAAATGTACCATTTATAATCAAAAATACATTTCATAATTTTTTGTTTCATACATAGTGTACCCCCCCCCCCCCACAAGGCACATCATAATACTAAATG